CACGGTTCCTGCGTTTCATTCGCTCAATCCTCCGGCCTAACTTCCACCGATGAACAGCAGACGCAATTGGCAACTTCGGTCGCTTCCTTTGGGATCATCCTTGGCGGAAATTCGTGTATACGTCGATCGAGCGTGAAGTTCCTTTTTGCAATGGACATTGAATTATTGCTCGATTGACAGTGACAAAATTCACCCCGATGACTGCTTTTGAGTATTTTCTTCTGGCAGTTGCTGATGACATACATAAGCTGCACTTGGTAAGGTTTATATTGATTTTATCGAGTTGTAAATGTTACAGTGTAGTTATCTATTTTTATCATACTACTTTAATTATTATTATTCGCGGATACTAAGTTTAGGAACACGTTGAAAGTCAGTAGTCCTAGTAAATAATATAGATATGTTACATTATTGGCTGAGAACGCTCCATCACTAATTTGAAAATTATTACTGCAGAATGTCAATAACAGTTTTCTTCATTACACCAATGTTTTGACTAAAGCATTTTCTGAGAGGAAAGAATGTTTGGCTGACTTATCTTTAAGTTTTTGGGTTTTGTGGAACACGACTGTGCTTGTGGCTGATATATCCAGAATGGTATTCTTACATGATATCATTATATAACAAGTTGGAATTGGTATATAAATCTTTGTCAGATTGCAAGTAAGTGACATTTCGATACACGTTTGATTCTTCGTTTTCTTTTTACGATACTGACTGTACTATTTCTAGGCGAATTTCTCAATCGCTACAAGTAGCTGCTTCCTGTTACAACAGCCGAGCAAGTGGTTCTATACCAATTACCCTCTGATTCCCAGCAATCTCACTTTAAGAACATTGCGGGAAAACGTGACTGAATCAAACAACATGGAACAGCACCAACGAAACGCGACAGGAAACCCACCAAATACTCCACGTCCTGTCTTATTCTACCTAGAATCGAGGACAAGAAATTTCCTTCTTTCGATGACAACATCGGAACACGAAACGAAGGTGATTCTGAACTTTCTGCAAATCACGAATAAGAAATGTGCTAAACGAGGTTTCGAAAAAGCCACGAAAGAAATCGGGACAAATAACATCGATTCGTTCTTTTTTTCAAACCTCTGCACGGAGGGTGCGAGAAACTCGCAGGCTGATTCGGTGCTAATGGCGTCTTGGGCTGAAGACGATTCAGAGGATGCAATCCCTGGGGCGTCACACTTGGAGCAGTTTAGAAAATACCTTTGGCTCGCTGCTTGCAAATAAAAATCCTTCAGCGATTCCACGTATCGAGTAATGCATCTGTCCATTAAGAATTTTTAAAAAACAAAATCGATTCAGGTTTCATCAGCTCGATGGCAAACAGAAAATTGCGATTTATCATTCTGGAAGGTGTAACAGAGAAGGTATAATTAAAAACTTCTTCGAAGATGAGCAAACTCTTGAGAATAAAATTAATTGTTTGCTTACCTATATAGCTTGGAACACGCTGAGGGTTATTGATCGACGAACAGGACAGAAGAAATGGAAAATATAAGATAGGGTTAACCCACAGCTCGGCCGCACTCGACCGATCTGTAACCCGGATCATGGAAACACACGAACCGTCTGGAACATGGAGAATGTGTAGGTAAACCTAGATAGACCTAACCCATATGTCACCTAGACCCTAACGTGTAGGATGCTTGTGTGGATCTAGGTAAACCTAACTCATATCTGATCTAGATACAACTAACGCTTAGAAACATACGTGTACTGATTCAGTTTGCTTTAACTCCAAACGAATTCGTACCTAACCCCAGGCCAGTTCAAATTTTCGGCTTGGGTGAAAATTTATTCGAATGTTACGTTGTGGTTTTGGAAGATTTTAAACAATACAGGACTCGTTGATCAGGAAACGTATATACGTACTTCTTGATTCGCAAAAGTTTGTCTAGAGCATGAATATATGCAAATTATCGATGTATCTCGAATAAATTTCCTCTCGAAACTTCCGAATCTACGGTTCAGAATACTATGCGCACCTGCTAAACTATCGAATAAGTATTTAATTGGAACGCGAAATATTCAAGTATTCAATAGTGTACCTTGCATTTCATGAATAAATTTCTAGCGTCTTGTATCTCTCTGTTACGCAATATCTATAAAACACAACATTTGCACGCTGCTGGAGCTACATAGAGAATGTATAAAACCTTCGAACATTCATAAATTATATTTTCCTTTTAAATAATTTATAAATTGCAACCGCTATCGTCGTCGCTATTAACATACCGAAATTACTTCGGATAAAATATTCCGTATTTTCCATTATCTTCAAAATTGAGGGAAAAAGCCTCGCTCGTGTATAGCAGGTGTACGATGAAGCAGCTAACCAAGTAGACGCGAATTCATTATCAAAACACAAAATCCTCTGTATAAGATAACCCGAGAACACGATGTAGCGTGAAACGCGAAAACGATCGGGGCCCGTGAAACGAATTGCCTTCGTAAATCAAGAGATTTACCTGCAGTAAGATTCCACGGGCAAGTATCGGCTGTTTAAAGACATATATCCGAACGATGTTCGCGAACGTTCGCGTCTTGCGTCATTGGTAACGATCGGGAGTCGTCGAGGCGGATGGTTCGATCGCGAAATTATTTCGCAATCAGTGCCAGACCAAGATTAATTCGAGCTTCGGCTCGACCGCAGTCCCGAACTACACCGTGCGGAAACAGAGAAGCATCGGTTGAACAAAGCGGTCAGAGCGAGAGCTGACGAGATCCGGAAACAAGGAGACGCCTACCAGCCAGAATCGTGATGTATGTGTTTTAATTCCGCGGCAAAGCCGTCCTTTATTTATTGGCTTTCGTTACAGGATATTGCGACAGACTTCGTCACCCTACACTCCTCCCCTATCTCTCTGTACGCTTTTTTTTGTCGATCGTTTCTTTTTCCTGACTCTCCTCTCTGCGTCATACAAACGAATGCATAGCCGCGTTTGTCTTCGCCAATACTTCCCATTCAACTCACCGCACGCGCCACGATCCGATCTTCCCCCACCACGCACGTTCGATATCAGTTTTCATTGGCTCGCTAGTGTTTACGGGTTTCTATTTTTCGTTCTATTTAACTAGTTCTCTACCTCCATTCCCATCCGTCTTTCACTGTCGTCTCCGTCGCCACGGGCTTCACGCTTCTCCGTTTTACCTTCGTTTCATCCGTCACGCGAAATTTGTCGCGCGTCGAATAAATTCGCCTTTACGTGCATACGAATTAACCGAGCAAGACGATCGCTCGCGGCGAGCACTCCCTTGCTTCCCCCACCACTCCGCTCCGCGGCTCTTCGTCTTTCTCTAACCTTTTTCCGTCGAGTGAAGATGTCGCTGCGAGCGCGGACGTATTTGCGACCGGCGGCTTTCTCCCTATCGCGATTGCGCTTTCCAAGGTGCAACAAAGCACGCCAAAGCTACATTACTGACTGTCTTTTAACGTACCGCTGTTACCAGAAATTGCATGCACGCGCATTTGCATAGGTTAAGGAAATACGAGGGCTATTATAAAATATAAAACGTGAAACTTTTTTTAGTGCAGTACATTGTTTCCTTTCCTTTCTGGATATTTAAAGAAACGTTATATGCGCGAGTGTAAGAATGATCGTTATCTGTCCCGTTAAAATTGCATGCTTGTATACGGCGAATAAATTTAGCTAAATTTTACGACAACGTAGTGTAGATTTTGGAATAAAGTGAAATTAAAAAGAACGTTGTCGCACAATTTGTGTTATTTGGAATTGGTCTAGAGAAAGGTAATCAGTGTGGTTTCATTTATTGCGGATGATTATTGTTATCCATGTATCCGCTTAGGAAACATGGTGCACGTTCAACTGCTGAATGGCTAACTATATATAGGTACATATGTATGTCCAGCAATTCTGCGATACTTGCCGGAAGTATCGAACATTGTTCCGCAATGAAATTCTATTATAGCATTTGTAACTTTAACACAATGAGTAACACTGGATTCGGAATCTCCGTTACGAATTAATGACTACTGAGCATGAAAATTACTGGCCATTGTGTACAATTCGAACATTAAACGGAGCATTGTTCTATAATTCTAGAATACTAATCACGCGTAATCATTTTACAATTTTGATACAGGAGAGAATTCCACGATGGAGATGTAAGTGCGAGCTTCTAATTATCTAGCTTAACTAAAATAATTTATTCCATTATTTTTTATATATATATTATCCCTAAATAAAAGTATTCTTCTCCAACCAAATACCTCTAGTATGAAAATATTTATAGAGTATACTAATAGAGTATATTATTATGGAAGGAAATAAACGATAAACGTGTCCGTTTTTATCCATAGGAGGGAGATTTCATTAAAGTTTTAAAGAGAGCCACCAAATAGAATAATGAGCAATGTTTACAATGTCGTAAGTATATCAGAAGTTTCAGCATTAGTCCTATGGATTAATAACATCCGAACGATATTTCAAGGCGACAGGAGCTGATGGTCCCGTGAAGTAATTTACTTAAGCACTTACGTTTAAGTGCCCGCCAATGTATAATCCGACGAATTCTATTAACGCCGAGTGTCACGAAGGGAGCTCATCGACGTTGTTTCGTTTCACTGTGTTTGTTGGCAACCTTTACATAATTGAAGTACCGTTAAATACGACACCGATAATTCTTTATTTCCCTCGTCCATCGTAAAAACATCTTTGTCACGTTTAAAAAAATTATTTAAAGATTGTAAGAAATTAGAAAGTGGACAATGCATATTCATCACAATGTGTTTATCATGAGAGGTTAGCCTATTACAAATTTGTTCTACAATAGCACTTATCACAAAACCATCTCATGAAGCACGCAAGCATAAGTTTGCGAAATTAGTGGAAACACGGAATGCTTGATCAGTGCCTCTCTATTGTATTACTCGAAATATCGAATGTCGTATTTTCACTCTAATAACTGCTTGGTACGTGATCACGAAGATTTCTCCATACTTCCTAACACAGTTTCAGTCCAACGCGCCCTACTGACTTCCCACTGGTCAGTGACAACTTGTCGTTCGTTGAGTGGACTTTGATTCGTCAATACGGTGTTTATTACTTTCACGTGTCATCAATTCTTTTTCTTTCTCGTTTCCGGTCCACTGTTTTCACATACGCAGTGCGATTACACAACTTATTGCTACAGTTCATGTTCATATACTCAACCAACGTTTTATAAATGCTGTGAAATACGAGGGAATTCAAGTGCTGAATATAGGTTAGGTTTCGAACGGATTGTACGATTTCCAATTAACAACGCAAACCAGATATCGCTGAAGTAAGTGAATTTGAATAGGTAATAAGCGAATAGGAATTTTACAAAATTTGATGCTATTATCGGTCGATGAAGGTATTACTTACATACAGCGTAACGTGTAATATTAGTTTTAACGAGTGTAATCATGCCTCGAGTGTCTTTAATCTGATACGATATTTCTTTTTGAAGACGTTAGTTAACAAAAGGAAGGAAAGTCTCCAAGTTGACGAAGAAGGCTGCTGGAGCTGCAGTTTCGACTATACGTACATGGTGACCGTATAAATCACGTCCATACACGAGATGAAGCTCAGCGGCTCGACTGACCGCCCCGTTTTCTGATTTACGACCCGAACTTCGTCCCCAGTCTTATCTTCCTAGATATTTTCGCCGGTGAAAAACCATCCACGCCAGGTATATGAAGTACGATAACAGCAACGAAGAATTTATAGTCGTGATTAACATTTTAACGATATGTCTTTTGTGTTTTGGCCATTGTTAACGTGTTATCATTTGCTTTCGCAAACTATACATCTCCACCAATTGTTTCGCATAACCTAAAAAAAGAAAAAGAAACGAATTTGATAATTTTTTTAATAATATACATGCGTCGGTAGACGGAGATAACCTCGTGGTACAAAATGCAAATTACACGAATTTTCGCGTGTAACATTTTAATTAAAAAAATTGGTAAGATAGTCAGTCCTCTGTATTTTATAATTTATTTTGCTTTTGTATTTTTCCACGTTCGTATTGATTTTACTTTTACGTTTCTTTTTACAGCGTTTCATTTTACCTCCACGTTTGCATTCTTGCCATTTTTGCAGCTTACTCGAAAATTACTCGCACGCAAATATCTTGATTTTCCCGTCCCTGGTCCGTGCAGGCTTCCACGTTTCCAGTCGCAAGTTCCAGCTAGCGGAGCGACGTGGCGCGGCAGCAGGAACCCAAGAGCCACTTCACCTTTTATATTCCAGTGGTGGCGCGCGGTCGCGCTGGATATTAGCGAATGATTAAGCGCAGTATGTCAGCGATATGCGCCTAGGCCACCGTGGGTTTAGTTCTAACGAGTCATTCCATAAGTAATGCTCTGTTGTACATATATTACGCGGAAATACTTAGCTATTTGTCGTTAATTAATCGATGCTGCATTTCCCCCATTTTTCATAACCATACGCCATTTTTCTATCGAGAATTTTTCACTCCCTGTTTTTAAACTCGCGTGACATACTTCGTCATTTTGAACCAGAATTTATGGCACGCAACTATTTAACCGAAATATTTTCTTCTACTTTCAATTGTCAAATAAAGGAAAGGAAAAATGGCGGATGTTGAATTATAAGATATGTAGAGATATATTTAATGTACTAATATATTTTATTTATCTGTTTACAGTTTACACGTGTCGTGAGACGAAGGAAGTTGAAAATCATTTAGCTATGGATAAGCCAATATTTAACACTGGAATTACCCAAGAGGTTAAAATAAACTTTTGCAGTTTACGGGACCATAGATCTGCTTCCGATAAAATTGACATTGACGTTTATCCAGGTAGGAACATAATTATCTATTTATCTCCATTGTATCACTATAATACATTTAGTTACCCATTCTAGGTTGATGGTTGAATGTTAAACACAGAGGCGTAGAAACGAAACTCTGAAAGGAAAAAAGTGGATACTAATGAAAATATTAATCTTCGAAAGTATCTTCGAGTCCCGCGACGTGCAGTATCGTCTTTCATAGCTACTCACAGCCTTGTGAGGCTGTGTGCATTAATCTAGAGCTTCGCAGACGCCTTTCCTGCAACAATGGTGGCGCCACCGTTGCCGCCTCTAGCGTTCCCATCTATACTCGCGCAACATCCACGGTCGCCGCGTTAATACGCGTACATGGTACAGATAGCGCAATGTCGTGAACACAGGTGCATTATATTACGTGCAAGACCACGCCGAAGAAGTTGTACGTCATGGATTTGCGTAGTTTCATCTCTTGAAAATTCTCGGAATCGATTTAACTCCAACAAATATGTTAGAGCTTTAATTAATCGGCCATAATTTTATAATAAAACGGCATCGATTTTTAAAGCCCCTGGCACGAACGCGAACAGCTGGGCCTTTCTTGTTTAACGTTTCGCGGTTTAGAACTTCTCCTCGAGATTACGAGCTTTCATTTCCTGGTGAAAACGCTCGAATACGCTCGCAAAATTTCTCAACTTCGAGCAAGTTTTATCTCCGTCATTACGTAAAGGCAGGCATGAAAGAATCTTTAAGCAGTCGACTACGCTGCTTACTTCATCTTCGATCATCCTAAGATGCTAGACAAGCAACAAATATTTGATCGTTTCCGTAAATATTGTTCACGAGATGTTTCATAATGAACAGTATTAGGTCGATAGTAGTCAAGTAATAATACGTGTCTAATCGCAGGAATTTTGTGAGAGGCTTATTTAAAATGTTTGGAAGCCAACAGAACATTAATCTGATATAATAATATATAAGCTATTATTAATATATATTAAAATAATTATTTTACCTTGCAAAAGTATGGTAATATCGAAAGCTAATAAAGTAGAATTATTTAGTAGTAAAAGTAAATATAAAATGAGAAATATGTTTAATTTATTTACTGTTATAAAAGGTAATGGTGCATAGAATATATAATAAAGTGACAGAAATATTTAAATAAGAAGATACCGATAGCAATGATAAATAATAGCTGTACTTCCTGCATAGAAAGTTTATAGTGAGATAAAGTTAAGTATACATATACCCAACAAACATTTAAAGTTAATTTTCTTAAAAACAAAGCCTCCTATGAAAAAATTTATTTTCTATTTTGGACTTGCTTTTTTGCATGAAGTTATTACTTACAGAACACATTAGGAAAGTGATCTAAGACATACATACTTTTTATTTTTTATTTATTCATAAATTTCTAGATATAGAATTCTTTGCTTTGTTCATGGGAAATACATGATTTTGTTACAGGAATATCGCATTTTAGGAAAATTTTTTACATTATAGAACAAATATATATATATATATATATATATGTAAATACTTACCCATAAACGTAGTGAATGTCACGGAAATGCATAAAAGACAATTTGCTCGTCGTTACTTGTAGTTCTTTCTCATCTCGAATCTTTTCAACTGTGACTTGGGTACGGGAAATATTACTTTCAGTATATTTGTAGATCAATATACCGAACAGTTTCGCTACCAATGCGAAGTTATTGTTGAATCTTGAACATGGATAACATAGACAACACGGATCTCCTATTTAACCCTGAAAGTTAGATTGGTCGAAACAAATGATTCAATTTTTTGTCCAAAGAAACGTGGATCTCCTGACAAACACTGGCAAAGTCCCATGCAAACATGGCTGGAGCAGGAAGATAAAGATAATACTTGCTAAGTATGTGTGTCAGCATTTACATCTGCAAACAGAATGTCGGTCGAAAGTTGAAAATAGCAGCAATCCGTTTCACTTGCTGAAATCGCTACCTTGTGATTTACATGAATTAGACGATGGAATTTTTGCAGAACGTGAAGCTACTTCTGCAACTGGTAGAGTCTAAAATTCTTGACGGTGCCGTGGTTTCTCTCTTGGCCAAACTTCGTCGTCAGGAGATGTAACAAGTCACTGAAGTACTCTTTGAATTTTTGAAATGAATTTTGAAATTCCTGTCGATAAGAATAATTTATTACACAGAACAGAACTAGAAGCCGAGATAGACTAGGGTCATACTTGGAGGGATCGATTAGAATAGTATTGCAAATACTGGCCTGAAGTGAATGGTCTCTAGAAGACCCATAACCTATCAAACGAGTCTGGACATCATTGTTTATAGCGGGTTAGGTTAGTCACGTGACTTCTTCTGCCAGTGCAGTCATTGGTTGATTGTATTATGCCTCAGAGATGACTATACGGAATTTTTTTCTTTAGAAATTTCATTTAATTACTATTTAAGTTAGATATTTCTAGTGATAAGGATTTCGAAAGTTGGTAATAGCGATTCTTGTCTGGAATCGAAAGTATGGGAATAAGTAATTTCGCGGTTCCCTTTATTTACGAGAGCAATTCGGCTTGCGTTTTGATTAATTCACGACATTTTTTAATAGTTAACTTTTTGTTTATTGCTTCAATTAATATTCAACATTCAGAGTAGTAGGTTTTACGCGGCAAGGGCGTTGTATCTTTAATCTCGCAATACTGACTGGCAAACAAAAAGGTTGCCTCGGAGCAAACTGTAGAATTTGGCTGGTACAGTATATTGGTAGGAACAAAAAAAGGCTGTTCCTACGGAGCGTCAAAAGTTCATGAAAATCACTCCGTTCGGATATATTCCAGAGTAAAACCAATTTTTGATACTGAGACACGCCATTTCTTAGTATATATACTGTTTATAACAAATTATAATAGATTACAGTGTATAACAGAAATTTATCCTACAGAAATACAAATATACAATTATTGTTTATAAAAAATGTATAAATTTAAGAATTTATCATTAATTATAAATTCATATTGTTAATAAGGTTATTGCTTAAATCACAAAAATACTTAATATCAATGCACTAACGAAATTAATATACTAAAAATATAAATAAAGTTCGTAAATTATTATATTTATCGCTAATAACGAATTGATATTGTTAATAACAAATTGTCCAGAATGTAAACTTATAATAAAAATGAAAAAATTAATAAATTATTGGTTATTAATACGGAGAAATAAAAATTAATGCAATCGGTGAAATTCAAAAATTTCCGATTGGAGTGGGGAGCGCGGCCGATCGTAGACTATATAAGGGGCGACGCGAGGTAGCGTAACTCATTTGTCGGTCCGACTTCGGAAGTGTAACATCTAAATTTTTCGTGCGTGAGGGGTGGGAGTTCGAAAGTGAGGTTGGGGCTAGCCACCCTACCCCATTTACTAACCTTCTTTTTGCAGGTATTAATAATTTCTTTTTGTTTTTAGGTGCTAATTATTTTATTTTTTTCCAGATTTTAATAATTTTTTATATTTCAGATTTTTTGTGGTTTCTATTTATTTTTATTTGACTATTCGAATATTTCGTATAATATTCGAATGTCCCATCGTTGGTCTATTCATATCTCATCGTTGGGTTGTTTATGTCTCATCGTTGGGTTCTTCATATGTAATCGTTAGGTTTTTCATTTTTCATCGTTGGATTGTTTGTTCCATTTGGTTGACTATTGTAGTTTATATTTGTTTCACTTTTATTATGTTTTACTAATTTAATACTAATCTGTTCCTTTTTAGCATTTCAGGTTTTTTAAGACATCGTTGAACGACGCGGGATGCGTGCGTTTAGATCTAACTAGTTATAAGGAGGATAAGATAGATACATAGATTAAGTTTCATGTGCGTGCTATCCGTTCAAAGGTAAGCCGCCCAACTTGGAGCGGAATATATCAATTCTCTTACCCTCTCGTTTACCAAATAGAACATAATTGTTCTCGCGATAATCGCGATCTTTCGTAAGTACCGACTAGCCTACGCGACGTGCTCTCGTGTACTCGATAAGTACATGCTTCGTAAGTCATCCTCACGACTCGTCTCCGACACTCATTTCCAGTCACTGTCAATCTCGTCATGCATCGGGTTCCAGGGTGACCCCCTCGAATCAGTGCGTCTTCTGACCTCGACCGGGCGGTCCGCTGCCTAAGTCGTACGCGACTTGGGCTCGGGCACATGCTGGCTGACGGACTAGTACCATCTACGGTTAGACCACAGGGATGATTAAGTTCTACCCCGTGTGGCTGGGATGCGAAGTGTCTGTCTTGGCCGGCAACCGCCCAGCAGGGCCCTCGCGTTGACACTAGAAGTTTCATTGGT